TATTACACTTCTTTGAGATCCCACAAGCCAACATGCCAATATCAAAGCAAAAAATTGTAGCATGCACTATATTATTTTCCAAAAGGGTGTTTCATTTTTGTCTCTCACATTCACTTCACTCGTACACATTACATCCTTCCCCAACTACATGTTTCTCGCTATATAGTTGACACCCTTGTTGACATTTACTCCATCACAACCTCCACCTTTCAGCTCATGAAAAAAAACATATTTTCAACCGCCCACTTAACCTTTGAACTAAAAATATAATAATCAAATAAAAATGGTGAAATTTTAACTGAACATATGAACTTTCTATTAACAAATCAACGAACTTATTAGTCATCTCCTAAACCAAATACAAACTCTAATAACATCAAATACCGGGAACAAGGGCATCCATGCACTCACCTTATTGGATGCCGGTAGCGTTGCGGGACCTTCCACACTAGAGATATCTTGACCTCTGGATGAGTTGTTGGTATAAAGCAAAGCACCACGAAGGCATCAGATGGGAGACGGTATTAGTGGATTTTGGGATGCCGCCAATGAATGAATGGGCAGAAGTGTGAGCAAGGTGGAAAATAATAATAATGGGAGTATTGAATGAGTAAATAAATGGTTTTGCGGCCTATTATGATATTCCCCGTATTCAACTAAGGAAAAAACACCACAAAGATGTCAAATGGGAGGGTATCAGTGGATTTGGAGGTGCCAACTACGGTTGAATAGGAATACGCGTGAGCGAGGGCGAAACAATGAGAGAAGTATTGAATGGAGAAATAAATGTGTATGCTACACCTCCGTATGCGATTGGGTCAAGCGCGTAGAATCCCTCCCTATGTGCCAGAAGGGTGGCACATCAAGCGCTCTGATTTTATCAATAAATATCTATGTCTTCAAAATTTTGCTGTCCAATATTAACTACATACTCAAAATTTTAGGGTGCCTATCAAATATCCTAATATTAGCTACTGAAAAGCATATATTTTTTCCAGTTTCAAGCTTAATCTCTTAACTAAAAATCAAAACTAAATCGATATGAACTTTAGCTTAACAAATTAGCCAAATGTGCACTCATTTTTTCAAACCAAAAGGCATTGTCGGTAACAACAAGCATCATAGCACGAAGCAAAGCACAACGAAGGCATCAGATGAGAGATGGTATCAGATGAGAGATGGTATCAGTGGATTTCGAGGAGTTAGAAACAATTGAATAAGAGAAGGCTTGAGCGGGAGGTGGGATAATGAGGGAACTATTGAATGAGGAAATAATGTGTGTGCACCTTCATATGATATCCTCCATGTGATCAAATTAAACG